TGAAACATGCATGAGAGCATCAGCTGTTCCGGACGACTGTGTGATCACGCCAATGTGAGTAAGACCTTTACACAGGTCAACATTCACAAGGCCGCAGGGCCAGACGGATTACCAGGACATGTACTCCGAGCATGCACTGACCAACTGGCAAGTGTCTCCAATAACATTTTCAACCTCTCCCTGTCTGAGTCTGTAATACCAACATGTTTCAAGCAGAACACCTTAGTCCCTGTGCCCAAGAACACTAAGGTAACCTGCCTAAATGACTACCGACCCGTAGCACTCATGTCTGTAGCCATGAAATGCTTTGAAAGGCTGGTCATGGCTCATATCAACACCATTATCCCAGAAACTCTAGACCCACTCCAATTTGCATACCGCCCCAACAGATCCACAGATGATGCAATCTCTATTGCGCTCCACAGGGCCCTTTCACACCAGGACAAAAGGAACACCTATGTGAGAATGTTATTCATTCACTACAGCTCAGCGTTCAACACCATAGTGCCCTCAAAGCTCATCACTAAGCTAAAGCTTATCACTAAGCTAAGGACCCTGGGACTAAACACCTCCCTCTGCAACTGGATCCTGGACTTCCTGACGGGCCGCCCCCAGGTGGTAAGGGTAGGTAACAACACATCCGCCATGCTGATCCTCAACATGGTGCGCGTGGGTGCTCAGTCCCCTTCTGTACTCCCTGTTCACTCATGACTGCATGGCCAGGCACAACTCCAACACCATCATTAAGTTTGCCCATGACACAACAGTGGTAGGCCTGATCACCAACAACGACGAGACAGCCTATAGGGAGGAGGTCAGAGACCTGGCCGTGTGGTGTCAGGACAACAACCTCTCCCTCAACGTGATCAAGACAAAGGATATGATTGTGGACTACAGGAAAAAGAAGAGGACTGAGCACGCCCCCATTCTTGTCGACGGGGCTGTAGTGGAGCAGGTTGAGAGCTTCAAGTTCCTTGGTGTCCACATCGCCAACAAACTAACATGATCCAAGCACACCAAAACAGTCGTGAAGAGGGCACAACAAAACCTATTCCCCCTAAGGAGACTGAAAAGATTTGGCATGGGTCCTCAGATCCTCAAAAGGTTCTACAGCTACACCATGACTGGTTGCATCACTGGGGTCAAGTACGTACGGCCCAGTACATCACTGGGGTCAAGCTTCCTACCATCCAGGACCTCTATACCAGGCCGTGTCAGAGGAAGGCCCTAAAAATTGTCAAAGACTCCAGCCACCCTAGTCATAGACTGTTCTCTCTGCTACCGCACGGCAAGCGGTACCGGAGCGCCAAGTCTAGGTCCAAGAGGCTTCTAAACAGTTTCTACTACCAAGCCATAAGATTCCTGAACATCTAATCAAATGGCTATCCATCTACTCTCTGTTTATTATCAATGCATAGTCACTTTAATAACTCTACCTACATGTACATATTACCTCAATTGCCTCAACTAACCGGTGCCCCCGCACATTGACTCTGTACCGGTACCCTCTGTATATAGCCTCGCTATTGTTATTTTACTGCTGCTCTTTAATTATTTGTGATGTTTTTGTTTTTTCTCCAAAAAACTGCATTGTTGGTTAAGGGCTTGTAAGTAAGCATTTCACTGTAAGGTCTACTACACCTGTTGTATTCGGCGCATGTGACAAATACAATTTGATTTGGTAGCCATGCTGGTTTAGTGTGCCTTGAATTCTAAATAAATCACAGACAGTGTCACCAGCAAAGCACCCCCACACCATCACACCTCCTCCTCCATGCTTCACGGTGGGAACCACACATGCGGAGATCATCCGTTCATCTACACTGCGTCTCACAAAGACAGCAATTCGACCATGAAGGCCTGATTCACACAGTCTCCTTTGAACAGTTGATGTTGAGATGTGTCTGTTACTTGAACTCTGTGAAGCATTTATTTGGGCTGTAATTTCTGAGGCTGGTAACTCTAATGAACTTATCCTCTGCAGCAGAGGTAACTCTGGGTCTTCCTTTCCTGTGGCGGTCCTCATGAGAGCCAGTTTCATCATAGCGCTTGATGGTTTTTGCGACTGCACTTAAAGTAATGATGGACTGTCATTTCTCTTTGCTTATTTGAGCTGTTCTTGCCATAATATGGACTTGGTATTTTACCAAATAGGGCTATCTTCTGTATACCACCCCTACCTTGTCACAACACAACTGATTGGCTCAAACGTATTAAGAAGGAAAGAAATTACACAAATTAACTTTTAAGCACACCTGTTAATTGAAATACATTCCAGGTGACTACCTCATGAAACTGGTTGAGAGAATGCCAAGTGTGCAAAGCTGTCATCAAGGCAAAGGGTGGCAATGTTGAATAATCTCAAATATAAAACTTATTTTGATTTGTTTAACACTTTTTTGGTTACTACATGATTCCATGTGTTATTTCATAGTTTTGATCTCTTCTTTATTCTACAGTGTAGAAAATAGTAAAAATAAAGAAAAACCCTGGAATGAGTAGGTGTGTCCAAACTTTTGACTGGTACTGTATATTATTATTATATTATAAAATGCATTCTAACATTGGCAGCAAAGGCTTCTTCACACAGTCCAAAATAAAAAATGTACTTTTTCAAATGGTTTTCATTATTAAAAATAATTCAACAATTTCATGTGTATAAGCTCACCAGCTTCTAGTCCCAAAACCCGGAAATGAGTTACCTCTGGTTTGTTCAGCCTTTCCTATAGGGAAAATGAATGGGGAAAGAATAGAGTTTTGGGATAAATGCCGAAAATAAGGTTTGAGATTAACACAGGTTTAGGAGATCTTATACGTTTTGTTCTATGAGATAATATCAGTCAGTTAACATGACCTTTATGAATTATGAAGCCTTAATGTGCTTTTTTTTTTACATAAATGCTTCAAAATTCACAGAAAGTTACATTAGCTGATGAAGATTATCTCATAGAACCACAGACCTTATTTTTGGCAAAACTGTTTTGATACTGTAACAATGCTGCTAACAGTCTCTTCGGTAACCTACACTCTCACTGTAGGGCATGATAGGAGAAAAATGATCCTCGTGTCCAAGAGGTGAGGCAGAGGCCACAGAGACGGGAGGCAACATGAGGGCAGACACATGCAGAATGACACACACAGGTAACAGCTTGTTTCTTTACTCAGAAACGAGGGCAAAATGTAGATATCTGGGTGTAGGTCTGCATGTGCATTCAAAACACATGCAGCAAAGTAGACATCACATGTAGCAAAGCACAGCAATCACAGATCAGATCTGTACACTAGTGTGTTTTCATATAGCTAACCAAGGAGGAAAATAATGAAGTAGTTGTTCTGCGGGACATCAATGAAATTGAGTAGCTGGTTGACCTTACTGCAGCATCCTCTGGATATATGGGAGGTATTATATTCAACCATGCGAGGGACAAATGGAACCCAAAGAGTTGTTGAAAACCTCTCATGTCTTCACCCACTTTGTTCCTGACTCCATGCACCTTGGTTGAAATGGGATGAACCACATAATTTCTCCAGCAGCACCCTCTGTCCCAGAACAGGTGAAACTGACTCTGACGAGCTGTTTCACTAGATCTCCCACACACTTCCTTGTCAACAAGAATAATGTGGCTACCTCGCTTTTCAACCAAGGTCGGTGCATGAACGAGGACCGAATTTGAAGATAAGTAGGACAAGGATCTTTCAACAACTCTCAGAGGACAATGGAAGTTCACTTCAAATACGACAGTAACACACATTGATTTTAAGAGAATTTGAAGTCAGCTTTGTAGATTTCCTGCTTCACTCAGTTGCTTGACAGACATGGAAACCACCACCCCACTGTACCAAGCTGCCTTGATGGGTTTGGAGCAGCCATATCCCAAAGAAGACTTCTCCTGACCAGCTCCCATTTCCCTGGTTCTTTGGCTTCCTCTGCCACCACAATGAAAAAAATAGACAGACAAGCCCACGCCTTTCTTCAGTTTTTGTTTTGGTGGAATTCTGGTCACCGGTGACGTGAACACTGCAGTGCCCCCAGCTGAATCTGTGTAAGAACGGGCCTGGGAGAAATGTGAGAAAGTTATATAAATGACCACCACATTGTTCTCCAACTCAACGCCCTTGCTGCTCTAGCTTTTCAGTCCTTTCAAACAGTGGATTGCCTCTTTACGTTGAACTGAATAGTGGTGCAACAGGTTAGGGGGAAGAGGCCAGTGCTTCACATCGTGTTACTTTACCATTTAGCTTAAAACCTGTGCTTAATGTTGAGCAGTCTAATGTGTGATATTAAGGCATTTATAGTCCAACTTAAAATATGTCTTCCAGTTTAGATTAATAATTAAACTGACATTTAGCCCATACATAGTCAATTGAGTGACAAATATATTTTATTCAATGAGAAGACAACTATACTTTTTCATCTTTGAAAAGATTCTCCCTTCTGACCTGGGACTCGAACCCACCACCCTCCAGATGCTGTCCCACTTCTTTAACCTCTAGGTCGGGGCTCTCCAAAACCGTTCCTGGAGCACTACACTCCTGTAGGTTTTTGCTCAAACCCCAGTTGTCACCAACTTGATTCAGCTTATTAACCAACTAAGTATTAGTCAGGTGTGCTAGATCAGTGTTGAAGACAACCTACAGGACAGTAGCTCTCCAGAAACGTGTCGAGTGCTCTGCTCTAGGGCACTCGACACAGGTTCACTTACTATTATCCCCCAAAACACATTAACCCATCCTGAGGAAAACCTAGATGTAATGACAAAGCGTGCACTGTAGACACTGGTTCAAATCAGTTCCTCTTGCTGTCATATTGGTCAATAGTTCTGACAGGGTGCCTTTCCATGAATCACATTTCACAAGTTTGTGAAAATGCTAGTATGTCAGTTTCGCTTATCCTAGTTACTAACCACTATCTGTATAACTTTAATCGCCCAAGATATCAAATGGCAGCTCCTACACCCAAAATGAACAGCCCTTAAAAATACAACACATCAGACCAACAATGTCACCATAAAAAGGCATGTGTTTATTTCTTTAAATGTACAGACACCCTCTAGCGGTAGCGGTGCAGCTGCAGGGTATTGCGTCTCTTCCAGGCTGCCCGGCGGGAACCACCCATGGTCAGGTGGAACTTGTGGCCCTTGCCCAGGCCGCGGCTCTTCTTGCCCGCGGATGTCAGGCCACGCATCTCCCTGTGCTTGTGCACGGGCCTGGTGATCCATTGGGTGTCAGGGTTGCGTCTGATAGCCTTGTGGAAGGTGTCGATCAGGATCACCTCGAAGAACTTGTAGGTGGAGTCCTCTCCTACCCAGTAGGAGGCTAGCACCCTCAGGCCTCCACAGTGACGGCCAGCACGCTCCTGTTGGGGAGACCGAAGACCAAACAGGTCAGACAAGTCACATCCAGAAACTTAGGTATAAATGTAAATCACTGATATGCAGAGGTGTTCCACACAACCACAAATGCAGGTCAAACCACTCAACATTTCATAACGGATAGAACATTATGCCGGGGGCTGGTCTAGTGATCGCACTGCAGACCCCAGACTGTGCATGGCCCCCTGCGGCAAGGTTTTTATCCCCAGTTACGCCACCTTCAATTTCGTCTACCTCTACCTCATCCACATTACACACCATCTGTTGAGCAATTCTAGCTGTATGCTTAAATCTCAAATGTATGGGAAAGATCTGAAATGAGGAAATCATTGCACCATGTCACATTCATTTGAGAGTGAGGCAAACACATATGGATTAGACTTGACATTAAAGTAATCACCAAGTCCAATGTGAAGAGAATACCATTCACTTAGTTTTCAATACAATACCGTTTTAAATACAACCAAGATACTTTTGTAAACAATGCATTATTTTCTCTGTGGTTTCAGACAAATTGGCTTATTTCAGACAGGTTTCACCATAGTCGATAAGCTGGGGAAAAAAGTTGAGCATCATTAACCACATTGAGGATGCATTAACGGTGTTGATGAAAGGGGTGCAATTTGAAATGTGAGCCTCGTTTCAGAAAAGAGCACCACAGTAAGCAAAATGGCAAATTCCAACATGCCTATCAGAGGACAATGGGGCCAATATTAAATTACTTGTACCTATCCAATGTGTTCATATCTGCACAAGTGCCTAGAAGTGTGGCAATGTTAGATTCGGAATCGAGCATCCATTTGCCAAATTAAGTCAGATCAGTGACATCCTTGTGCAGTTCATAGTAACTTCTCCCTGAAGTGTGCAATCATTCACTACCCCTCATGGATTTAAAATAAATACTGACCGAAGTAAAATGTTGTATAAAATAAAAACTCTAGCCCAAGTTAACGCCAATCCTATGCTTTTCAAGTCCTAGAAAAAAAGTGAGCAAGTACAACATTTAGAGAGAAGGGAAGAGAATCAGACCACAACTTGGGAGATGCACCTGTACAGGAGCACTTACCTCAGCAGTGGACTGGAGGCTGCGGGCGAACTTGATCTGGTTGACACCATGGTGGACGGGCTTGCCGTAGGTGGCACCCTTGGGCACGGGGCGCTTGCGGCCTCCACGGCGAACGCGGACACGGTAGATGACGTAGCCTGTTATATGGAGAGAAGTCAGGAAGATATCAATGACATGTCAAATAAAGGACATAGTAAATAACAGCCTGTCATATGAGATCAGCAACATGTCAAATAATAAAAGAGGACATTAATGGCACAACCACTTGGTCCACCTTTCATGTGAATCAACACTTAAACGGATAAGTGACTCGCAGGTATTAACGAAAGCACAAACAGGCGATCAGAATACCATTACTGCCTAATCACAGCAATAGGGCTACAACATATTACATCTTTAACTTATCACACCAATGCATCAGACAACATCCTACACCCTGCCTCATGTGGCAAACTTGAGGATCAAAGGTGACATGAGTGAGAAACGATCAACTATGAAGCATAAGCATGCAACAGATTACCAGTACTGCAAAGTTACATGAGTCTATAACATTACCCAAGAAGATTCAGTCTGCATTCTACGATTTGAATGAAACAGACACCCACCTTGTTTGCACTTGTACCCTAGTCTGCGGGCCTTGTCGGGTCTGGTGGGTCTAGGCGCACGGTGGAGACCAGAGAGCTGACGGTACTGCCAGCAACGGACGCGCAAGAGGAAGCGCATCACGTCGGACTGCTTCTTGCGCCATAGCTCCTGCATATATTTGTACGCTCCCATCTTGGACTAACTGTGAGAAAAGCCAAAGAGAAATATGTTGCTAATGATCACCATTCTATGTTGCGATTTTGCAGTTAGTTGGAGGGAAAAAGGCACCAAAAAGTAACGTTTGGTAGCTACCTAATCTTCATTAAACGCCATGATTTGGCCAAGTTGGCTAGCTAGCCAACAAGCACGTTTACTTTGTTTACAACGTACCTTTAACTATTGAAGTCATTTTTTTTTGTCATTTAGATGAGCAATTAGGGTTAAGTGCCTTGCTTAAGGGCACATCGACAGATTTTTCACCTAGTCGGCTCGGGGATTAGAACCAGAGACCTTTCGGTTACTGGCACAACGCTCTTACCCACTAAGCCACCTGCCGCCCTGTCATGAATGACATCTTCGAGTTAGTACTTTTGGGATCATTTCTGTTTAATTATAGACCCACTGGAAATCTGTATTCGGGTAGCATGAGGCTCGCGGTAGGCCCCGATGCCTACAGTCCTACACACTAGATAGGTAGCTAGTTAGCCGGCTAATACTCAATAACACACAACCACTTAAGTTCCAAAAACACCAAATAGTCACAAGAAAAACCTCGAACGGACCAAATACACACATTTTTATAAACACTGAATGTCATTGGCTAATAACTTTCTACCCTCGCTCCGTGGCAGTACAAAATAGACCCGTGCACTACTTCGGGTACACAATGCAATATTCATATTTTCCTACATTAAAATGCAGAAATTGAAGTACTATGTTATTAACTAGGCATCCCGTTAACCAAATCCATAACTATACAACCTGATGGTAACGTTTTCATTCAGATTTTTGATGGATTCTACATTCTGAAAAACAATAAAATACTCGCTTACATGATGGCGTATAAGCCGGAAAGAAAGAGAAAACGTACCCAGCATGCTTTATGAAAACGTCAGTGACACAATTCTGGTCAGACGCCTGGGTATTGTAGTTTATTCCAATAATGTTCATATTTTTCATATACTTTTCACCTAACTTCATAACCTGATTTTGATGGTTTTTACATTTTAGAACTGAAAATCACAACCAGATTTAAATAAAAGTAGCTACTTTTATACATTGTGCTTTGAAATTTGGTCCACTACACTTTTATCGATTTTACAATTTTCATTGGCAGCTGGTAATATAAGTTTTTCTTTTACATTTATTAATGCATATTACAAATAAATGTATAAATTATTTTTATACAGTGCATTTTCTCTCCAAATTTTACACCCCAAACCCCGCCTGTGAACATGCGCGTAGAGAATCATTGGAACTTCCTTGTTGTCAAAAGACAGAATGGATGCTGTGATTTTAGCTAACGTTAGCTAGCTAAATAACTTCAAAGTAACATAGATACCCAGTTAATTGCAATAATAATTGTAATCTCTCCATTTGTCCAACTCTGCCAGCTTTTAAACCAAGGTACGTGTTTTATCGTATAAAGCTAGCTACTTAACTTTGGATGCGATGTTGAGGAAGATGCTTCCATAGATAGAACAATGAGCAAATATTTGATGCTTCAACTAGTTGACTAGCCAGCTAGTAGTTAGCCAGGTCATCTTCTAGCTATTTTACATTTCTTTTTCTGCTATTGCAGGTTTTTGCGTTATCGAAATGGGGAAAGGCTGCAAAGTTGTGGTGTGTGGTTTGGCATCTGTAGGAAAAACAGCCATCCTTGAACAGCTGTTGTATGGCAATCACGCTGTTGGTAAGTTAATGACGGTAAACTTGAATTTGGCTGTGCTTGTGAGAGATGAACACTGTGTAAAATGTGTTTGTAGTGTTCAAGAGGAATCAACATTGTATTGGAAAATATAGCCTGTAATGTCCAGTTATTTGGAACAAAACAGTGTTCTTCTTTTCTTTCACTGTGCAACTTTAGCAGATTAAATCTGTAACTAAGTATATGCATGGCTTCATATGAAGGTGTATTGAAGACCATGGTCTGGGATGAAGCAGATAACTGCTAAATACCGTCCAGCATGGTGTGAGGTTGTTGTGGCTTTAGAGCCAATTTATGCTTGATCTGAAAATGGGGTCAGAGGCGCGGTATGGATGATGTGACGCAATTGCGAAGCCCCGGAGGCACGCAGAGGCCAAATTGAGGTCCGTACCGCATCGCCATGCGCCTCTCAAATGTTGTAAGAGCCAATTTATGCTTAATCTATAAATGTGGTCTGAGGCGCCATATGGATGGTGTGACACAATTGCGGATCCTCTGGAGGCAAGCAGAGACCAAATTGAGCTCCATATGGCATTGATGTGCTCCTCTCAAATTTCGTAAACAATGCTCCATATAACTCTGCATTGACATGATTTGTTGATTGGAGGTGAGGGCGGGAGGTACTGTATAAACAACAGCTCTGCACTGCTCCACGAAGCCAAGATGTATGAATTCCCTGAATTCTACAAAGGCTGTATCATTGTAAATGCTGAACGGCCAATGCAGACGTCGGATTGCTGCTCATTGACTACAGCTCAGCCTTCAACACCACAGTACCCTCCAAGCTCATCATTAAGCTCGGGACCTGGGTCTGAACCCTACCCTGTGCAACTGGGTGCTGGACTTCCTGACGGGCCGCCTCCAGGTGGTGAAGGTAGGCAACAACACCTCCACTACGCTGATCTTCAACACAGGGGCCCCACAAGGGTGCATGCTCAGCCCCCTCCTATACTCCCTGTTCACCCATGACTGCGTGGCCACGAATGCCTCCAACTCAATCATCAAGTTTGCAGACGACACAACAGTAGTAGGCCTGATTACCAAGAATGACGAGACAGCCTACAGGGAGGAGGTGAGGGCCCTGGCGGAGTGGTGCCAGGAAAATAACCTCTCCCTCAACGTCAACAAAACGAAGGTGCTAATCGTGGACTTCAGGAGACAGCAGAGGGAGCACTCCCCCATCCACATCGAGAAGGTGAAAAGCTTCAAGTTCCTCGGTGTACACATCACTGACTATCTGAACTGGTCCAACCACACAGACAGTGTGATGAAGAAGGCGCAACAGTGCCTCTTCAAGCTTAGGAGGCTGAAGAAATTTGGCTTGGCCCCTAAGACCCTCACAAAATTTTACAGATGCACCATTGAGAGCATCCTGTTGGGCTGTATCACCACCTGGTACTGCAACTGCACCGCCTGCAACCACAGGGCTCTCCAGAGGGTGGTGCGGTCTTCCCAACGCATCACTGGGGGCACATTGCCTGCCCTCCAGGACACCTACAGTACTCAATGTCACAGGAAGGCCAAAAAGATCATCAAGGACATCAACCACCCGAGCCACCGCCTGTTCACACCGCTATCATCCAGAAGGCGAGGTCAGTACAGGTGCATCAAAGCTGGGACCGAGAGACTGAAAAACAGCTTCTATCTTAAGGCCATCAGGCTGTTGAATAGCCATCACTATCCGGCCTCCACCCAGTACCCTGCCTTGAACATAGTCACTGTCACTAGCCGGCTACCACCCGTTACTGAACCCTGCACCTTAGAGACTGCTGCCCTATAGACATGGAATCACTACTCACTTTAATAATGGAACACTGGTCACTTTAATAATGTTTACATACTGTTTTACTCATTTCATATGTATATACTGTATTCTAGTCAATGCCATCCTATTCAACAATTGCTGTATATATACTATTCTATCCTACGTGTTCTACAGATATACTACATATTCTATCCACATACTGTCCATGTCTATACATTCTGTCATATATACATTTATACACACACACACACTCCGACATTGCTCGTCCTAATATTTATATATTTGTTAATTCCATTGTTTTGCTTTTAGATTTGTGTGTATTGTTGTGAATTATTAGATATAATAATAATAAATGTCATTTAGCAGACGCTTTTATCCAAAGCGACTTACAGTCATGTGGGCATACATTTTTACGTATGAGTGGTCCCGGGGATCGAACCCACTGTCCTGGCGTTACAAGCGCCATGCTCTACCAATTGAGCTACAGAGGACCACATTACTGGACCATTACTGCACTGTTGAAGCTAGGAATACAAGCATTTCACTACAACCGCAATAACAGCTGCTAAATATGTGTATGCAACCAATAACATTTTATTTGGCTTGACCATGCAGCGCCTTTAAGAGTTGAATACCCCTGCTATAGAATATAAATACTGTATTTAACCGAGAGTTGAGTGAGCACTGCCTACCTACATTACCTACTAGACTGTTGTGTTGAACACAACCATTGAATGATCCATTGTCTTCTGTCTGTTGCAGGTTCAGAGTCCACTGAGACCCAGGAGGATGTGTATGTGGCATCGGTGGAGACAGATCGTGGTGTGAAGGAACAGTTACGTCTCTATGACACCAGGGGGCTCCATGAGGGCCTGGACCTTCCCAAGCACTACTACTCTGTGGCAGACGGCTTTGTGCTGGTCTACAGTGTGGACAGCCTGGAGTCCTTCAAGAAGGTGGACGTCCTCAAGAAAGAGATAGACAAATCCAGAGACAAGAAAGAGGTACTGGGATTGTGAATGATTGAAACTCGCCCTAAGGGTTAAGTGTGTGTGGTTTAAATAAATAAAAAGTCAAATGAGCCAGGTTTCGTTGAATGTTTTGGCCACAAACAGCTAATCAATTTACATCAGCAGTTGTCACAGTGCTTTTATTCCAACCCGGCCTAGACCCCAAAGAGCAAGTAGAATTACATTGGCCAGAACAAAACAACTATAAACCAAAACACAAATCAGAACCTCATACTATCGCTGTTGAGTTTAGTTGGAGTGTCCCCTCTTCCGCCGTCTTCCTCCAGGTGATGGTGATCGTGCTAGGGAACAAGACGGACCTGCGTGAGCGTCGTCAGGTGGAGCAGGAGGCAGCGCAGCAGTGGGCGCGGGGGGAGAAGGTCAAGCTATGGGAGGTCAGCGTCACTGAGAGGAACTCTCTCATCGAACCCTTCACCATGCTCACCAGCCGCCTCACACAGCCTCAGAGCAAGTCTGCCTTCCCTCTTCCCGGACGTAAGAGCAAGGCCACGCCGTCCAACGACATATGAACTGAACTCAACCTCAAGAGCGCCTGTTGGAAGTACTTCAGGGGGGAGATGTTAGAGTAGGATTGACGAGTTAGCCAGCCAACTTCAATTAATATTCTGACTTCATATCGCCATGAAATATCGGCATAGACATAGTAACTGACTCGACATTCCATAGACAACCCATATTAAAATTAAGCTTTTTTTAATGAACTAGCAAATTAAGAGATGTATCTTAATGTTTATCGAAGTTAGCTGGCTAAATGAGTGAGCCTGCTTTGTGGTATCATAGACTTCTCTGGTTTCAGTGTGCCCCATCCTATGGGAGGGCAATAGTAGCCGCTTTACAGCAAGGTCTAGGCCCATCTAATGCGCCTTTTGGAGTGAGGCTTATTACCTAGTGTATGGCCTACTACCATCTAGTGTATGGCATATTACCAGTTTAATACCTAGTGTATGGACCGGTAGCAATAAAACAAATGGTACTACCTTGATCAGGTCTGTTGCTCATGTCTGTGATTATTAAATGTCTTTCATCAGTTGCACCCCAAATGGTTGATTTTGTTAAAATATTTTTAAAAACCTGTACTTTATTAGCTTTGTACATTTTTATTTTGTTTAACTAATTTATTTGTCACTTTACTAAACTTAAATTTCTAGTGGGTAGGAATGGGATAAAATGTAGGACATCATTGTGTCTCAATGAAATGTCTGTTGGCTTCTGTGGTGCGTCCAAATAATATCCTTTCTCCTGAAGTGTACACTCGTTCACTACTACAAATCTAAAAGCATTGGATTGGTGGAGGCATGGGCAATTCAGTGAATTGAAGTGAACACATGCACACTTTGAGGAAGGAGAGGTAATTGGAACATTGCCTGTGTCCTTCATGTCTTGCGTGTGAGAATAAATGTAATATTTTTTGCTGCTACTTAGTTGGTTTTATTTGTTGCTGTCCATCTGCACAAGTATTTCAGTTTGAACGCCATTTAACAATAAATGGAGGGACTGTATTCATCAGCAACACACCTAGACATTATGTGCTGTATAGGCTAAAATACCAATGTTTCAGCAATATGTTATAGCAGATTAAATTATAGATATGCAAGAGAGCTTACACCAACGGCAACTTTATTATCCGTGAAATTGACATGAGATTTGGAATTCTACCAGGAAATCATGCTGTGTGACACCTTTATACAAGCAGTCCAATTTTGTAAAATTAATTTCATTTCGAAGCACAATTAGCAAAAAATGCATCATTTACAGAACGTTAAGGAAACACATAGAAAAGCATTATTACCAAAATCTTCATTATAATATACGGGCCGAGAACTTAAAAAATACCATAAACAATATCAGGAGATTACTTAAATTCCAAGATAAAAATCTTCCCACTCCTGACCCCAACCGTCCCAGAGTCATCTTAGAAGGGTGACACCTCCCCCTCTCATGTTGCTCAGGGTCGTAGTCATTAGGGTATGCAACGGGAAACAGAAATTAACGTTTCTGATTGGACAAGTCCAAGTAGTTCCTCCCCGTTTCAGTCCCTAATGAATACGACCCAGTCTTGTGTGTCTATGTGGCGTATCTCTTGGTCCACTGTTTGGCTATCCTGTCGTGCTCTGGTCTGTTGGTTGTGTACTGGGTGGCGATGCTTCCAACCAGAGGGTCAGCTGTGAGGGGTGGAGAATACACAGAGTTATAGATAAGGCATCAACAATAGCTTTGACCTGCCAGCACGCACGCACACACACACACGGAATTCCACATATGACAATGTTTGAAATTCGACTCCACAATGTACTTCAAATCAGCCACTGTAATTAATTAATTCAATCAAACCCGCATTACAGTAGTATGTGGTGTCTTAGGTCTTACCGGGGTTGCAGTCAGTGAGCAGGGAGCAGATGGACAGCAGCACCTTGGAGATGGTAAGGGCGGGGCTCCAGTTATCCTTCAGGATGTCCAGACAGATCACACCCTGACTGTTGATGTTACAGTGGTAGATCCTGGTACGGAATGTCACCTAGGAAACAACAACGTTTCTCTAGATCAATACTGTTATTGATGTTACAGTGGTAGATCCTGGTACGGAATGTCACCTAGGAAACAACAAAGTTTCTCTAGATCAATACTGTTATTGATGTTACAGTGGTAGATCCTGAAAGAAACACAAACAGAATCTGCTCAACAATGCTTGGAGGATGGAAACCCATGTTCAGTCTAATCATGGAAGCCACATTTCTATTCAAGCCTTTTTTTGCCTGGTTTGGTTGGTTGGTTTGGTTAAATTGACCATTAACTAGAGGCCCTGCATTTTAATAAAATCCAAGCGCAATCGCTTCCTCCAGCGGTCAACATAGCAATAACAAGTTCCCTTCTCTAGTGAGAAAGTGGTAGCCTACAAAGCTGTGTAATCTCGAGGAATGTTCTATTGATTGTTTGAGTCAGCTGTTTTGATTGGAGTCGTTACCTTGGGTGGTTTGAAGGGGTAGTCTGGTGTGAAGGCGATATCTAGGAAGAAGACTCCTCCCTCATACACAGAGCCTGGTGGTCCCAGGATGGTGGATCTCCACTCATAGATGTTGTCTCCTTTTGGACCCGCACTGCAAGGGCACAAACAGGCAACATAGGGTACATTGCACCGTTTCATGGCATTGGAGACATGAATGGTGAAAGACAAAAAGACAGAGTGATGAAGGAATGCAATAATATAGTGATTTACACTTGGCTTCTCTGTAGAACATACAAACACACATTCTATATGATTTATAGAGATTGATGCCTTCTAAAATGGCTGTTATCTCAAACTAATAACTAGCTCACAAAAGTAAAGGTTAACTAACACATTAAAATGCTAATACTTGTGTTTTAGAAAACAGAACAACTTAAATGTAGGCATCTTCATTGTAATAATAATTCCTTATATATAATTCACAGCATTATCGATGTAACTCATAACCAACGTAACCTGCCATGAGTCAGGTCATCGCCTCGTAGTAAAAACAAAACAAAGCTAGAGTGCTATGCAGTTTATTTGCTCAGTGACATAAGACAAGTTGACAGGGGTTGAATGGAGCTCCTGATAGTCCACTGGATTAACACCACCCACCAGTAGAGTAATGTAAACACAGAAATGCTCTACGACACCTAGTCATTACTCATCGTCCAAAATGCACGCTTAACATTCATGCTAACAGAAAAACTAATTAGAAATCAATGTGAAACATAAGTGTTATCACCCCCCCAAAAATACTTCTATGCCAAAAACACAGGACAATCTCTGTATAAAATCCAGTACCTAATTCTATGCCAAAAACACAGCACAATCTCTGTATAAAATCCAGTACCTAATTCTATGCCAAAAACACAGGATAGTGTCAGTCTAAAATCCAGTTCCTAATTCTATGCCAAAAATCTGTATACAGAAGTATTGTATCATTTCACATTAAAACATCCAGCCTGTGTGGTTTCTCTGACAACAGATGTGTGTGATACACAGCAGAGCCACAGAGGAGAGTCTGTTCTCCTCCCCAACAGACAAATGTCACGTAATGTTCCCGGCAGGGGTGATATGCCATGCTGCAGTCAGTGTAGTCTTTCAGTTCAATACGCCACACTGTAATAATCACTGTTGTGTTGTCATTCAGTTCAATAACAGACAGGGGCTTATTTTCTGACCTCAGAGAGACAGGATACAGACAGAGAGAGAGAAAGGGAAGGTGGGGCGAGATCAGTCCACATTTCAGCTGGGAGACTGTTTCTGATGAAGAACCATCAAAATGTCTACACAATGCATCAGTGAGGTAAACAAGTGCAATAGCTCATTTTTCTGCTTCTCCAAAACGTTATTGTTTACTTCTGTGATACTGTTTTTTTGCTTGCTTGTTTGTTTATTTGGAATCCTTTTGCCCACAATTGGGGCTAATCGTCCAAGTGTAAATACAAATTGTCATCCCTGTGAGAGTACACAGTACACAGCCTCCTTTGGCCGCCATTCCTTCCAGTTCTCTGCTGCCATTCCTTCCAGTTCTCTGCTGCCATTCCTTCCAGTTCTCTGCTGCCATTCCTTCCAGTTCTCTGCTGCCATTCCTTCCAGTTCTCTGCTGCCAATGACTGGAACGAACTGCAAAAATCTCTGAAGCTGGAGACACTTATCTCCCTCACTAACTTTAAGCGTCAGTTGTCAGAGCAGCTTACCGATCACTGCACCTGTACACAGCCTTTCTGAAATTAGCCCGCCCAACTACCTCATCCCCATATTGTTATTTATTTTGCTAATTTGCACCCCAGTATCTCTATTTGCACATCTATCATTCCAGTGTTATATGAAATTGTAACTATTTTGCACTCTGGCCTATTTATTGCCTTACTCCATAACTTACTACATTCGCACACACTGTATATATATTTTCTGTTGTATTTTTGACTTTATGTTTTGTTTACCCCATATGTAACTCTGTGTTGTTGTTTTTATCGCACTGCTTTGCTTTATCTTGGCCAGGTCGCAGTTGTAAATGAGAACTTGTTCTCAACTGGCTTACCTGGTTAAATAAAGGTGAAAAAATAAAAATAAACAGGCCAGTTGTATCAGGGGCCAGCATAATGAATGCAACTCCTGGCTCCAGTCTGTATCTCAACTCTCACTTGACACCTTGGCTTGCCAGGAATATGTCTAAGCGCAGATACTGTCCTCTTTATGTGTACCGTCTGTCATCACATCATCTCTAACCCACTAGCAGCTGCTGGCACTACCTCTTTTTAATAGCAATAACCAGAAACACAGTGTTAATGTACACTAGGCAGTCATAACAGAAAATATAGCATAATGACACCACTTCAACAGAGCGGCTGAAAGACTATAGAAACACTACCCATTCCTGATAATGGCAATCGCACAGAGATGCAGTATATATATATAAATAATACTATCTATTCTATTTCTGTGGGTAATTGGCCTGTGAGTGAACCTTCTTTTCAGTAATGTAAAGGGAATATTTACTTAGTATTCCAGGAGTAATGGGAATGTGTCAAGGCTGTTTTCTTCATTCACGAAACACTAGCAGTCAGTTTGATGTAATTGATTCACACAGTTTATCGTTGTTATGCTTTATGGTGGGTTTACTTCTTCTCTCTTGTCTTGTTTCCCCAGAGGTGTTCCCTCCCTGGCTGGATATAAACCACATCTCTAATATCCGTTCTGTTCCCACAAGGCCTTCAGGAGACGCATAGAGTAAAACCACCCGGTGATATGAATCAGAATGAATCAGAATAAACTGAAGAGGGGAAACCCATCTGCCTAGCTGCCAGAAACCGTTTGGAAACACTCAATTTAACACTCATTTAATTTTCAGTTTCAAAACGTTTATCTACAGTGTGCGTAACCTTTGTTGAATTGAAATTGGTACTTAATGTAAGTAAAACCAAGTACATGTTACTCTCCAAATCACATAAAAATGTATCCGATGATCTATGCGTACGCACATCGGAGGGTGCCCTCATTGATCGTGTCCCCCCTTATAAATATCTGGGCATCTGGATTGATAAAAAGCTATCTTTCAAAAAGTATGTTGATGAATTAGTTAAGAAATTAAGAATGAAAATGGGCTTAGTTTACAGGAATAGGTCATGCCTTTCATTAAATAGGAGAACACAAATCATTCAGTCGACATTCATACGGTTATAGACTATGAGGATATTGTCTATATGATTATGAATGCAGCTGCCACTGTATTGAAGCCATTGGAAGCAGTTTATCATAACACACTACACTGTATTACGGGCGATAAGTTCAGTACACTGCATTCTGTATCAGAAAGAAGGGAGGCCCTCTTTGAAGTCTCGTAGATCAATGTATTGCACTCTTTTTGTTTATAAAGCCTTCCTGCATAAACTTCCGCCGTACCTTACTTCATTGTTAACTTATAGAAGTACGAGATACCAGACCCGGTCTCAGGGATGGCCATCTATGGAGATCTCTTCAAGCTCCACTGAGTTGGGTAGATCTGCTTTTACTTTTTTTGCACCTTACGTTTGGAATGATCTCCAACGCACTTTAAAATTTGAGGAATTGGTGTCTCCAGGGCAGGGGTATACAGTCGTGGTCAAAAGTTTTGAGAATGACACAAGAATTGGTCTTCACAAAGTTCACTGCTTCAGTGTTATGATCCTGATCATTTATCGCCCTCCAGGTTCCCTTGGAGAGTTCATCAATGAGCTTGACGCCTTGATACGTTCCTTTCCTGAAGATGGCTCACCCTTCACAGTTCTGGGTGACTTTAACCTCCCTACATCTGCCTTTGACTCATTTCTCTCTGCCTCCTTTCCACTCCTTTCCTATTTTGACCTCACCCTCTCACGTCTTCAAGAGAGTGAGAGTTGCACCCCTCCTCAAAAAACCTACACTCGATCCCTCCGATGTCAACAACTACAGACCAGTATCCCTTCTTTCTTTTCTCTCCAAAACTCTTGAGCGTGCCGTCTCTAGCCAACTCTCCTGCTATCTCTCTCAGAATTACCTTCTTGATCCAAACCCTCTCTCCTCTGCTCTTATCCTTCTAGACCCATCTGCTGCCTTTGATACTGTGAACCATAGGATCCTCCTCTCCACCCTCTCTGAGTTGGGCATCTCTGGCGCTGCTCACTCTTGGATTGCGTCCTACCTGACAGGTCGCTCCTACCAGGTGGCGTGGCGAGAATCTGTCTCCGCACCACATGCTCTCACCACTGGTGTCCCCCAGGGCTCAGTTCTAGGCCCTCTCCTATTCTCTCTATACACCAAGTCACTTGGCTCTGTCATATCCTCACATGGTCTCTCCTATCATTGCTACGCAGACGACACACAATTCATTTTATCCTTTCCCCCTTCTGATAACCAGGTGGCGAATCGCATCTCTGCATGTCTGGCAGACATACAGTGGGGAAAAAAAGTATTTAGTCAGCCACCAATTGTGCAAGTTCTCCCACTTAAAAAGATGAGAGAGGCCTGTAATCTTCATCATAGGTACACGTCAACTATGACAGACAAATTGAGATTTTTTTTCTCCAGAAAATCACATTGTAGGATTTTTTATGAATTTATTTGCAAATTATGGTGGAAAATAAGTATTTGGTCACCTACAAACAAGCAAGATTTCTGGCTCTCACAGACCTGTAACTTCTTCTTTAAGAGGCTCCTCTGTCCTCCACTTGTTACCTGTATTAATGGCTCCTGTTTGAACTTGTTATCAGTATAAAAGACACCTGTCCACAACCTCAAACAGTCACACTCCAAACTCCACTATGGCCAAGACCAAAGAGCTGTCAAAGGACACTGTAGCTCAGCTGATAGAGCACGGCGCTTGTAACGCCAAGGTAGTGGGTTCGATCCCCAGGACCACCCATACACAAAAATGTATGCACGCATGACTAAGTCGCTTTGGATAAAAGCGTCTACTAAATGGCATATTATTATTATTAGAAACAAAATTCTAGACCTGCACCAGGCTGGGAAGACTGAATCTGCAATAGGTAAGCAGCTTGGTTTGAAGAAATCAACTGTGGGAGCAATTATTAGGAAATGGAAGACATACAAGACCACTGATAATCTCCCTCGATCTGGGGCTCCACGCAAGATCTCACCCCGTGGGGTCAAAATGATCACAAGAACGGTGA